GACACCGCCCTCACCTCCAGGAGCAAAGGCGGGAAGAATTTGTCAGCAACAAGCGTCAGATCATTCTGCTCATGGAGGAGCTGGACCACACCCCGGACACCAGCTTTGAGCGGGATGTGGTGTGTGAGGATGAGGAGGCGTTCTGCTTGTCCAAGGACAACATTGTGGCCCTCCAGAACCTGCTGCAGCAGGTATGTTGTGCTCTGAGGCAGTGTTGGAGGTTGGTGTGTGTGCTGGCTGCAGCTGCCACCATGATGTAAGAGCAACCACTAGGTTTTGGCAAGGCTGTGTGTTAGAACACCCTTTTCAGAGGGGCTGAGGAGATCTCGTGTGCCAGGTGTGTGGCTTTGCAGGTGCAGCAGAGCCAAAGACTGTGCTGATCCCCTGCTCCCTCTCCCTGCAGCTGGAAGCTCGTCGGGCTCTGAACGAGGCTGTGTGCGCAGAGCTGCGCACCAGGATCATCGCGCTCTGGGAAAGGCTGCAGATCCCAGAGGAGGAGAGAGAGTCCTCAGCCGTGCACCTGACTGGGTCCAGAATTCAAATCAGGAGAGCTGTAAGGACCCTGTTGTGCTCATGGTGGGAGGGCTGAGGGCAGTAGCTCTGGGGGATCTCATGCTCTTGGTTACTCAGTGAAGGGTGAGGGGAGCAGGCCAAATTCTGCCTTCATGGAGGGAGGAGCTGGAGGGTGGTGCTGGCAGCTGCCTCATTCTAGAGAGCAGCTCATGCAGAAGATGAACCATGTTCTCCCCCCTTCCTCCCTAACCTGTGCTCTGGTCCTGGGGACAGCTGCAGCAGGAAGTGGACCGTCTGGAGGAGCTGAAGCTGCAGAACATGAAATCCGTGATCCATGCAATCCGGGCAGAGCTAGCTGACTACTGGGACAAATGCTTCTACAGCCAGGAGCAAAGGGAAAGCTTCAGCCCCTTCTATGATGGTGTGTGCTGGCTGTCCAAGTAGTTTTGGAGAGGGATCTGAGGGGTTCCAGCAGCCCCCTGACCTGGCTGTTGTGCCCTTCCAGAGGATTACACAGAGACCCTGCTCGAGCTGCATGATGCTGAGGTGGGCAAGATGAAGATCTACTATGAAACACACAAAGATCTGTTTGAGGCTGTTCAGAAATGGGAAGAAAACTGGAAGCTGTTCTTGGAGCTAGAGGTATTGTCCAGCAAGAGCATGCCAGGTCATGGGTCAGTGTGTACCTCTGCTCCTGTGGGAGTGTGCTCTGGGACGGAGCAGGGAGGCACTGGGAAGTCATGGTGGGCCAGTGCACGGATGAGGTGCTGTGTTTCAAGCATTGAAGTGTTTGTGCAGGGCTGGCTCCTCTGGGGCCTTCACCATGTGAGGTTGAGGGGATTGAGTGGTGTGTTTGTGTCTCTCCTGACCACCCATCTCCACCAGAGTAAAGCAACTGACCCCAGTCGCTTCACCAATCGTGGAGGAAACCTTCTGAAGGAGGAGAAGCAGCGAGCAAAGCTGCAGAAGACACTGTCTAAGGTAGGTCCAGCCCTGGGGCAGGACCTGTGATGACAGGAAAAGGGATCCTTAAGTGTGGGGACACCTCCGTTCAGGGCAGCCCCTACACTGCCCTCATGTCCTGAGCAGCTGCAGGAGGAGCTGGAGAGAAAGGTCCAGACCTGGGAGCAGGAGTTCAAAGGAGCTTTCCTGGTGAAGGGGCAGAAGTTCATGGAGTATGTGTCAGAGCAGTGGCAGCTGTACCGTCTAGAGAAGGAGAAGGAGAAGCAGGAACGGGTGAGTACAGAGCTGAGCATGTTGGCTTCTGCCTGGGAGTGTCCCTGGCTCCTGCCTAGGAATGCCAGCCTAGGGGTGTCCCTGCTGGGTCCCAGCCACTGCTCTGGGCTCTAGCTGCTCATTCCCAGCTTGGAAGTGGCAGGCAGTGGGGCTGGTGCCCATTGCTGTCACATCCGCGTGGGCCGAGCCCCTTTCCGGCCCTAGCTGTGCTAGAGGTGACACTTGGCTCTGGATACCTGATACTCTGATGAAGTTCCTGCTGTGTGGCTGTGCCAGGCTGGCTGCAGGGCAGTGTCACACAGGTGCACCAGGGTGTATAAGTGCAGGTGTCTCCCACAGCACCTGAAGAAGAGCCGGCAAATGGAGACGGAGATGCTGTATGGCAGCACCCCACAGACACCCATTAAGCGGCGCATGCTCAGCCCCCACACACCTGCCAAAGTAAGCAAGGTAAAATGTCCCTGCAGAGCAGTGTGGTGAGCTGGGGTCCTGCCTGGAGCTGAGCTCTCCCTGGGCTGGAGCACAACCTTGGGCTGGCCTCGGCCCTGTGAGGAAGGGTCAGGGCGCTGCAGCCCCATGGGAAGATGTCCTGTGTGATACGTGCTCTGCTTTCCCCTCAGCTCCACAGCACCTTCAGTGCCAGCACCACATCCAACAGCACCATTCGCTCAGCCTTTGGGGGAGCCATCTCCCACTCGCCCACGTCTCGGTTGCCACCCTCTGGGAAGAAGGTGAGGGGCCCTGGGGGAGTCCCTGCCTGGGGCTGGGCTGGAAGGGACAGGTGAGCTGAGGTGGTGCAGCTCTCCTTGCTGTCACCCCATGGTTCACTGCCTCCCCTGCTAAGCTCGTAAGGGACAGGAGCCTGTTTATCTGCAGTCTGCTCTGCATCCTACTGGGGTGTTTGGGACCTGAAGGAGGAGGAGGGTGCCAGAAATCTTCCTCCACAGATTTCTACTACAGCTGTTCCTCAGTGCTGAGCCTGCAACTTAGGGGACCTTCAAAATATGTGTGTGCTGCCAGACAGGGCCTGAGCATCCTTGTCTAGTGAGTGGCATCCCTGCCTATGGCAGAGGGGTGGAACAAGATGGGCTTTAAAGTCCCTTCCCACCCTCATGATTGCAGGATGCTGTGATTCTCTGCAGTATGTTTCAGGGGCCAGAACTGGACCCCAGAGCCTGGAGAGCTCCTGGAGCCTGACACTGCTCTGGCTCCACAGACTGATGGGTACTGAAGCTGCCACAGCTCTCCTGCCCCTGCTCAATTCCAACATCCCATAACTGTCACCTCTTCCCACAGTTTGGCCAGGCCCGGACTCCCACCCGCACGGCAGCGAAGCCCCCCCGATCCAGGCTGAGGGAGCGAAACAAGGAAAACATGTCCCAGCTGGATGGAACCACCCTGAGCGGTGGGTGCACCCCCACAGCCCCTGCCCAGCGTAACCACAGCGTTAGTTCTGTTGCCAGCACCTATTCTGAGTTTGCGGTAATTCACCTCTTCTAACCCCACCCTCCTCGCTGCAGAGCACAGAACCTTTGCTCCCTCCTGTGTCCCCCTCGGTGTCCTCTCACAGCGTGGCTGCCCCTGCCTCCCCAGGGAGAACTTCAGTTGGTGGCAGCGGGCCCTGAGCAGCCACTGGGGACACACCAACCACCAGCCCAGAGGCCAGGCTGCGGTCGGGGACACAGCTGTGCAGGGACAGAGCCCGGCAGGGTGCAGTGAGCAGAGGCTGGAGGGGGGCTGCTTTCCTCTCTCAGGGTGGGGGGCCCTGGACAGCCTCTGTCCTCCCATCAGGCTGGGCTGAGCCAGAGATTTACTGTGTGACACGACCAGAAGAGTTTTACTTTTCATAAATTTGGTAAAGAAAGGAATTAATGTTCATTGCCTACAAGTTACACAGTTCCCATATTAATTTGTATTCCATCTCCTTTTGGCAGCCTGGCCTGCCTGCCTCTGTCCCCACTGAAATGTGAGGCAGCAGCCCTCTCCCTTCCCTCATCCCTCTCTCTCACTTCTTGTTTCCACAGCGCGGACTTTCAAAGGCTTCCAGGTTTGAAAGCAACTCTGACGTTCTCAACTCCACCACCAACACTGCCTTCTGATGAATCCCTGCTCTGGCGTGAGGCCCTGCACCATCTCCCACTCCAGGATAACCCTCCCCGAGGTTGCTGCTTAGAAATGTGCTTTTATTTAAAAAATCTCTAGCTGTTGTGAATAAAGTCCTTGTACAGCCCCCAGCTCTGACTGTCCTGGGGGGTCCCCGGAGGGCGAGGGCGCTGGAAGGGGCGGGGCCAAGGGAGTCTCAGCCAATCAGAAATCGGGCTCAGGCCGCAGCTTTTTTTGGCCAACCAAGTCCAGCAGCTCCAGCTCGTGTCCTGATTGGCCAAACCACGGCTCCGAGCCGCGAGCTGATTGGCTGGAAAAGCTGCCGCTGCAATCCGTGTGGTGATTAGCCAGATAAGGGGCACCGAATCATTTCCTGATTGGGTAAAAAAAAAAACCAACCCTGAACTTTCAATCCTCATCCTGATTGGCTAAAAAAGCTGGAGCGTCCTGCTGTCCTGATTGGCCGAATAGGCGGAAGCGCCGGTTCTGAGCGGTTGCGGAACTGCAGTGGGAGCCCCCGGCCCTGCCCAGCGAAAAGCCGCAGCCTCAATCCCTGACAAAAAGGGATTCTTTTCTGAGCAAAAAGCTCCACTCCCCAGACCGCCCTCAGCCCTTCTCAGCTGCTCGCTCTCTCCCCTGGACTGTGGAGACAACCACAGGGTGAAAGCCGGCAAACTTGTGATACGAAACAGTGCAGGAAGCAAAAGCCACACAAAGCAAAGCCAACACCAAGAATTCATTCCCTCCGCTCACCATCACCAGCGTCGGTGCTCAGCCTCCCCAGGACAGCAGGGCCCCATCACGGTAATGATAACTTGGGGACAAAACCACTACCTCTGAGCATCCCCCCCTTCCTTCTCCACTTTTCCACCCTGGCCATGATGCCACACAGTCTGGGATACCTCTGGGCTCACTTGGGGGTCCCCTGGTCCAGCCCTGGGTCCCAGCTCCAGAAGCCAAGCTCCTCTGCACCCCACAGCGGAGCAGAATCGGCCTCAGCTCTGCCAGCACTGCTCAGTCACAACATCCCTGAATTACACCGTGTTCACACAAACCACAACCACGGCTCCACGCAGTCCCTCTCCCCAGGACAGCTTCACTGGAGCCAGAGATGCTGGAACATGTCTCACACACACCAACACTGCAGCCCTTATGGAAAGGTGAATTTAATAAACACACCCAGCCCATCTCAGGGTGTCCCTGGTCCTGACGCAGCTGCAGCCCCCCTCCAGGGTGTGAATCAGGTCACTGGGGGCTAAACTCAGCCCGACCCTGTGCTGCAGCAGGGCTGCCTGTCCTGGCCCTGAAGACAGCGTGGTCCTGGAGCTGGTCCTGCAGAGCACAGCCTGCCCTCATCCCCCATCTGGCAGCACCCACGGGTTGCGGGTCCTGGGGCCCTCATGGCTCCTGCACCCGGATATAGGTGGTCCATGGCCCACAGACCACCTCCTCCACCCGCAAGCCCTTGGCCACCAGGTGCTCGACGCGGCGGGCCCGGTCAGAGCTGATGTTGTTCCCATGTCCCAGCTGTCCGTATTTACCTGCAGACACACAAAACTTTCCTGACAAAACGTTCCTGACAAAATGTGGCCCTGGGGCCTCACAGGGCAACTGCTCCGGGTGTTCATGGGGAGGAAGGGAGGGAACACAAGGGCCCCAGTACAGTTGGAACAGTTGTAGAGCAACAAAAGAGCCAAGGACGAGAGGACAGGAACCAGAAGCTGCTCCTGGGGAGGTTGTACAATCCCAAAGCAGAGGTGTCACTTACCCCAGCCCCAGGTGTAGAGCTCCCCGCCTCCTGCAACAGGGACAGCACCATCAGGCAGCACCCACTGAGCTCCGTCCCCCACAGCCCTCCCCCTGCCCCCGGGGGCACTGCCCACCAGGGCCTGCTGAGCCCTGGCACCTCTCAGCACCCTTGCCCCCAGAGGCGCTGCCCCCTGCCCCGCTGGACACTCACGTGTGACCACGGCTGTGTGTCGGGAACCACAGCTGACCGTGCTGACCTCCAGGTCCTGGGGCAGATCCAGCAGTGCCGGGAACGCCTGGATGGAGATGAATGCAGCATCCTCAGCAGCCAGCTGCTCCCGGGAGGGCATCAGCTTGGTGTTCCCTGCAGAAGAGGTAACGCCAGCATCGCTTGCAGGCTTGCACCACACTGGCCCTGCACTGAGCTGTGCAGGAAACCGGCCCACCATGCCCTCAGCCTGGCCAGCAGCACTCACCTGTGCCCATGTCCTCATCCTGCGCTCGCCCCTCCGCCAGCGCTTTGGAGGGCAGAGCCAGCTGCCCCGACTCGTTCCAGCCCCACACATACAGGTCTCCTGCCTCTGTGGGGTGGGGGGAAAATGCATCAGGCAGAGCTTAGCCCTGAGCCCCACCCGCTGGCAGAAACCGGTGCTCCAAGGACACCAACACCCCATATTCCCCAAGCCAGGTCCCATCAGGGCCATATGTGCCACCAGCATCCCAACCTCCCGTGCCCAGCCCAGCCCCTTACCGCTAACGCTGGCAGAATGCCACCCGCCCGCCGCCACCGCCCGCATGGGCACCCCGGCCAGCGCCTCCAGCAGCCGCGGCTGCAGCTCAGACTCCAGCAGCCCATGGCCCAGCTGCCCATGCCTGCAGAGACACAGAGGGACAGACAGACATGCCCATAGCCCACTGCCTCCAGCTCCCGTGTGCCCACAGTGCCCACCAAGCTCCTCCTGCTGCCACCAACCCAGCCTGGCAGAGCCCGAGAGCCGAGGGAACAACCACAGCTGAACAGAAGAATCAACCCCATGAACAGGGAAAAGCCAAGCAGCAATTGGAGAGTGATGCCCAGCACCAGACCATCACAGTTACGGTGGGAAGCAGTGGGACACAGCACGAGGGGCTTTAGTCATTAAAGACGGGGCAGAAGCAGGAGGAGCTGGCTGGAGCTGTAGGGGTGAGAGGAGCTGCTGAGTGGTGCCTGTTTGGTCTGGGGAGCTTCAATGTGACAGCTTGGGATGTCAACAGTCATGCTGGTGCACGGCCCTGGAAAGTCTCTTCACATTCTATATGGGAAATCTGCAGAGGACTGAGGCAAAGAGACACTGAGAGCTGAGGGGCAGGGAAGGGCATGCTGCAATGGGAACGTGGCTCTGGGCACTCCCTCACAAGAGGGCAACGGTGACTGCAGCCAGCAGAAAGAGAGGGGCTACAAAGGGGTGAGCTGGGCCAGCACCTGGCTATCACACAGCACAGCTGGCACACCGTGGGACACAGCTGCTGGGGCTGTGAGCTGGCACAGGCATGCATGAGAAGATTCTCAGCTGGGTTGAATAACCAAATTTCAAAACAGTTAATCCTCAAGTACATATCCTCACATGTAGAAACCTCTTCTCTGAAGGGAAGGCAAGAAGGACCAAATAATGTAGTGTCTGCAAATCAACAACTGCTGATGTAAATCGAGTGTCGTGTTTGCCATGAACTGTGTGTGCTACCAGCTAGCCCAGAGGCAGCGAGTGAGGAGCGGGGACTGGGGAGTGAAACACTCCTGAGGAATGAGCACCAGGGAGGGCACTGGGCCAGGGCACGCAGCTGTGACAGTGACTGATGCTCTGATGATCAGTGCTGGGTTTGTCTTCCATAAGTAGCAAAGAGGAACACAGCAACCCTTCCACTCTACAGATGAGAACAACTAGTTCCTGCAGCCAAGGAACTCATGTACCAGCAGAACTCAGGGATCCAGGGCAAAGGGGACCTGTGGCTGGGCTCTCCAGCACCTTCTGGGAAAACCTGACTGGGGCAGCAAATACACAGACAACCTCCTAATGAACAACTGTCCTAGAGTGACTTTATGATGCTTGCATCCCAAATCATCTGTTCTATTTATGCTGGATATTAAGTTTTGCACCTTTAAGACTGGTTCCAAGAGCGAAGGGGGGAAAAAGAAGAGCCCAGTTTGTTTACAAAAATCGCACTCCCCTACATCCTTCTCCTAGACTGTGCTGTCTGCAGCACAAACAGCAGGAGAGAGCTCTCCTTTGCTTTTTAGTTAGTTTATTTTAGCTTGCTGAGGCAGTGAAGTTCCCTAGACTATGATTTTTCTTTTTCTTAGAACTGTTCAAACCTAGTCTAGACTGAAAAGCCAAAAGAACACAAAGAGCTCACACCTATAATCCATGAAAGCCTAGGACACTGCATTCCAGCACCAGAAAGACTAATAAAAGACTAAGAAAGCCAACCGACACATCACTAAATAAGCTTTCTAAATTTGCCATCTCTTCAGAACAGCAAAAAAATTTTGTTTAATATTATTCACTTTTTATACTTGTGAATACTTTGCTTATTAAATAAACAGGTTTTTCCCACTTTTCTCCAGAGAAATCTACTCCCAGATCAATTTGAGGAAGGGGCCGCTTGAAGTTACTTTCTTAAAGAACCCCATTCAAAAATTTCCTCCCAAAATTTACCCTAAACCAAAACAAATACAACAACAAATGCCTTTGTGAGAATAAACTGAGCAGTGCCACCAGCTGTTAAATGCACCCAAATTCAGCTGCTGGCAGGTGACACAGGGTGCTGGGGCTGGAGACTTTTCCCAGGGAGCTCACTCCCCTCCCACAGGCTGTACCAGAGGGACCTGACACTGAACTGTCACAGACTGAATTAATCTCCAGTTCAGAAACACAAGAGCTTTGCTGCCAGCTGGTGCTTGTATGGCAAGTTACAGAGGAGCAGGAACAGAGTAGGCACCTTGATGGTCATACAGAGACCCAAGTGTCCCTGGAGACTGCCCTGAGGGAGGCAAAAGTCAGAGCAGAGGCCAGAGTCAGTAGTCCACCACCTAGAGAGGTGAGAGGTGCCCATGAGACCAGCGAGGACGGACTCAGTGGGAAAAGGGGCATGGCCAGGCCAGCACTCCCCAAGCGAAGATGTGAGTTTGGATGCCTGTGGTGGGGGGACCTGGCTCTGATGAGAGACAGATTCCATCAGCATGTGGGTGAGCACTGGGCACCTGCAGCTGGTACCCCAGTACTTCTCTCAGCTGTAACCTCGTGTCATTCCCAAGTCCACCCCCATGGGAAAGTCAGGATGTATGTCCCGGCCCCAGGCAGTGTGTGCAGGCTGGCACAATGGGGGCTGGGCTCTGAGGTGACTGATTCCGACATCCTCTCACCTGCGCTCCCCAAAAAGATTCTCCCATATCCCCCACATCCCTTCTGCACTCTCACGCCCCTTCTGCATCCCCATCGTTCTCTCTGCATCCCACCAGCACAGCGCTCATAGTGCTGGAGTTCCTGACCGCCCCCCGCTGCCGTCCCTCTCCTGCGCCCCTCAGTCCCTGCTCACCTGCCGCCGCCCCAGGAGAACACCTCCCCGGCGGTGCCCAGCGCTAGGGCGTGCTCCG